AAATGCTGTAAGTGGTTTCATTTCTACTGCTTCAAAGGCCAGTGAAAACAGCAGGAAGATATTAACTGCTGAGTCTTATGAAAACGATGCTAATTTAGTGGACATTAAAAGGAATATAAATTGTTCCCAACTGAAAATGTTTGGTACTAATTCTTAACATAGACACAGTACATTTTTGAAGAAAAATCTGTTTTCCCATTTTTTTTTTTTTTTTGGTCAGTACTTGAGGCAAAATCAATGATCTCATTTCTAATTGGAACACCAAAGAGAAGCTCCCTGTGAGACAGATGTTGAGAAACCTTAAAGTCTTCAGCAAAAAATTTCTCAGATTTTGAAGAACTAGTGGAAAAAAGATGAATAAACACTTAACTTTTTGTCTTACAATGCAATAAAGAATTTGGTGTATTTTAAAGTTTCATATGGTTAATGTCTCTTCAACTTCCCATTTTATCATTGTACAGAGACTGGTATCAACACATCTATCATTCCCACTTTAGCTTATCCTTGCTAAATTGAATATGGAGTTGGTACTCATTAAAAATAAATTACCACTGAGGGCAAAGAGTTATATTTTTTCAAGCAACTATTATATGCTCACCAAATGTCTTTACAAAGTAGCAATCTCTCACTTGTTTGCACTCTATCTAAATATTTTTCTCTTCATTGTCTTCCTGTCTATTCACAGATAAACTATCGAATTAATATTGGTTGAATTTAATTAAAACCCCCAGATTTCTCTAAAATACAAAAGAAGTGATCTGTCTCATCAGGCCAAATGGCATTTAGCAACACATAGTTGCTTTTCTCTAATAGAGTAATCTGAGAGATAAAGCCACTACCGTGTAGGTTATTTGCAAGAACATGGAGTTGATAAAATACAGAAACGTTCAATAGTTCAACTCCAGCTCCACTGTGAGAATTTCTGACTTGGATAGTTCCTTTATCCTTCTGGGACAATTTCTCTGCTTTAGAATGAAAATTTATAATGTGATACTGTTCCATCCGAGTAAACCTGTAGATTTTATGATCTGTCCTCTCTAGCCCTATAAAATCTAAACATTATGAAGATACTCATTTTGAAGTAAGTAGTAAACAACCAAATCAGTCCAAATATGCTGTGTGTGTGTATACAGTTTTTACATCCATTTTGAAAGACGTGCCTTTTTTTTTTTTTGGTAAACAATTTAAAGGCACTACAGAGGGAAACCAAAATAATTCCATGGTAAATATTCTTATAAAAGGATAATTTTACTCCATGAATAATCATCACCTAATTGGTTAACATTAGCTGGATTTTCCCCCTTAAGACAGACATACCTATGGATAAATGAGGCGCCGAAGTAGAGAAAAACAGCGTTTGGGTTTTGTGTGTCTCCAAACAGCTCCCAAGGGGATAGTGTTGGACGTGATTCTTCTCTAATGCTCTTCCTCGAAGAAACATGAGCTACAGTTAAGTCAGGGGCTCAGCGGCCACAGTTCTGTTAATAAACTCTTCCCTTCTTTTCACCACAAATGTTTTTCATCCTTGGGCCTGATTTTGTGAATCATCCAAAAATCCAATTAAGCTATTTTGTTCAATATAAAGAGAGGGTTATGTTGTGTCCAAGATCTAGAATCCAGGGGTCCCACTGACTATCTGTGCTACCGCTCCAGCATGTGACAATGAATCGCCAGCCCCTTGTTCTGGAAGCACTCTTCCCAGCTGGCATCACTAACACAACTATCCTTGTTTCCCTCCTTCTAATACTGTACTTTGTTTCCCTCATTGGTTCCTTTCTAGCTCTGTAAATATGGTGTCCCACTAGGATCCAAATTTCCTTTATGCTCCTCCTTGCATAAGGAATCAGCTGCTGCACCTTCCCTCCTTAACCTATGCAACCCAGCCTCAGTTGAACTGCAACTGTGTCACCCTCTTCCATGTAACATCAGTGTGCCTCTTTGCTTCAAACTCAATATACTTCAGAGGCTCTCACCTCATCTAATGTCTCCCCCAATAATGTCTGATATTCAAAATCCCCACAGTTTGAACCCAAATAGCCCAATAACCTTATCTCCAACCACTGCTGTATCCTTTTTTTCATTCCCCCAAATTACTATCACTGTTTCCCAAACTTACCCCGGGTTTTTCTTCCTCTTGGCCTTTTTTCACAGACTACCCTCCTTCGAAAGGCTCACTCCTGCCAGTTTTTAGCTGTTCCCTAAGGTGTCTGCATCCTTTTTTGCCCATCCATGTCTATCTTTCTCGAAGCCCTGCCTAATAGTATCTAGCAGTCCTCCTCTCTCCTCCAAGCTGCTCCAGCCCACTAGGCTGGTAGGGCACTGTTGAGGTGTGGCAGCAGCAAAGTCATCCCGTTCCCCAAAAGAGGAGAGCCAGACTTGTGTTCTTTGTATTATGTGTACATGCTTTTCATATAGATGTTACTAAATACCTATATCCTTTGATGTAGAATATGGGAAAGGGAACTGTCTTATAATAGTGTTGAAAGTACACACACACACACACACGCACACACACTTATATAACTGTCAGAGCTCTTTAACTGACAGTACTAATATCTGTAGCTTTTTAGTGTCCAAAATATGAAACTTTCATTGGCAAATGACAGCATTTGTGAACCTGGAAACAGTTCCTAATTTGGCATCCGGGAGGTACTCACTCCATCATGTTCCAGGCAGTGGCAGTCTGTACCAGTGCCCATTTTCCATTTTATTTGGTTATCAGTCAAAAAAAGCATCAAGTTTATGTTTGCCTTGAGGAAAAGTGTTCCAGGGATATTTTCAGCACTTACTGAGAGCTGTAGTCATCTCTAGGCAATTGTTTTCTTTGATGGGACCCGTTCTTCTCATCACTGAACTGCTCTTTAGCCACCCTTTCAATGCACAGGCTGTCTCCTAAGATAACAAAATCAGTCCCTGTACAGAAAGAGGGACCGATTCTCTCTGTGTTCATTGTGCAGCAGGTCACAAAGACCCAACAGTGTCGCTAACAGGGCTGCACTGGAGTCTGCACTGGGGCTGGAATTGGGAGCACTGATGTCTCTCTGGAGTACTCCACTGATATCGGTCTGAACTCTTTTTTTCCAGCACTGTGAAGCACTGCCTGGAGTTGCTACCGGTGGGTACCGATGCGTGTGTAGGCAGGGGCCATGCTTTCTCTGGCAGGAAAGAGTCAGTTGTTGATGACATGGCAGTAAGCATTCACAGAAGCAGGTAGTATTCACTAACGGGTGGAGAACTGAATGAATTCCTTTTTAAAATCAGTAGTCTGAAACTCCAAGTCGCATGGAAATCTATCTTTATTACCTGCCACTCTTCCCTTCATCTGGCAGCAGCAGTCCTTTATAAATCTGCTTTTGCCCTACTCCTCTGAGTCAGCCAGATATAATCCCCCAGCCCTGGTAAGGAGGGTGATCGTGTGACTCAGGACTAGCCCATCACTGTATGGCCTCATCAAATCATCCAGGAATAACTACAGAATCCGGGTCAGGCCAGGAGGAAGAGGAAGCTGAGGCATAAAGATATATAAGTGGTCTAAGGCTTCACAGCTGAAAGCAGTGGAGATGGGCTTATAACTGAAGAGATCTGGCTCATGGCTGCCATGGTCCAGTGGCCCTTCTCAAGGTGCCACAATTTATCTAGTGCTTAGCAAGTGCCCTGTGACTCTCCGGCCACAGAGGACCGTCCTAATTGGCTCACTCTGCTCTCCCTCTCCCCTCTGTTTCTGTGTTACGAGGCTGTAAACATGGCAGTGCAGCTCAAAGCAGAATTTCTTTCAGTTTAGCACCATCAACCAGCATTTATTATATTGAGAAACCACTGAATGCTTAGTCTCTGCTAACTAAAATCACTTATTTACAGTTGTACAATGTAAGTCCAAAAAAAGGTAGTAGATGGCTAGGAGGATGAAACTTACTGGAAAAGATTCTAAGTTCATATTGTGCAAGTAAAATCTGAATTTAAATTTGTGGGAATCAAAAGACACATGACATGATAGCAATAAATACTACCATAATTTCATCACAGAAGCTTGTATATACTTATAGTTTTATTCCCTACTCTCCTATTTGAACAAGATGTTTGTTGTAGTAAAAGTAAATTAATAAAAAGAATAATGTCTAAAGAAATTGGAATTAAACTCTTAAAATGGCTTTGGTTTTTAAATCACAGATCTTTTTAATTTTTCCCGCCACAAACATACTGAGTATGTTCCCTGGCAAAAGTGACCATGCCATCAATTATTTGTGTGGCCTTGACTAAATCACTTTGGGTCTCAATTTCTTCATTATCTGAAATGATGCTGGATTATTTTAAAATTGTTTTCCTTAAATACTTTTAAAAGTCCCTTCCCACTATAAAAACCACTATCTAGTCTTTCAAGATTGTACATCTGAATATTACTAATATTACTCATCTGCTATGTTACTCAATCTCTTGAGAGATTATATCAGTAAATATGCTGAAGTTTAGGAATATATTTTTACATGCTGATGAGCTACATCAATTTATAAATTTTTCCAAATTCCTGTTAACATAGGTCCATCACTGAAGAACTAAACAACATTTCTGAATAAATAGTACACTGCCAATAACATTTTCTACATATTTTGATCTCATAAAGATAAATAAGTGAAAGGAATGCACAGCTGGCTCTGGTACTGGAGTAATTCATTTCCCTTAAAGGTCAACCATTGCTAGTTTAAAAGTTAATGGCCAAGATACACAAGCCAAGGGTTCTGTGGTGTGAACGCAGGCCTTGCCTGATCACCAGGCAGTCTCCCATTCCAACCTCTCCTCTGAAGAAAGAAGTCCCTGAAAAAACTCAAAAATGCATTTTAGCAAGCTTAAGAAATGTAGCCTACCAGCACGAATTAAGAGCTTTGTGACCATCAAAAAAAAAAAAAAAAAAAAATGGGCTGGGGATTTGGCTCAGTGGTTTCGCCACCTGCTGTGCAAGCGCAAGCACCCAAGTTCGATCCCCAGTACCAAAAAAAAAAAAAAAAAAAAGCTGTAAATTTTAAGTGGCTCTGACCCTCCTTAGCTTTTGACGAGCTAACTTTGACATTCCTTAGAGGCCAAAGGATGAGAACCACTAATGAAAGATCTGACTAACCTTTCCCCTTAGGAGGCAGATCCAATTTTCAGCAGTAAATGAAATCTATCTAAATGTGTCTTGGGAAGAACTACTATAAATGAGGTTCCCTCCTGAGAAATGACTAAAACCACCAAAAACAATTCTTAGATAAAACAATCCAATTTTAATGTAATTACTCTTAAAAATGAGTAATTTATAATAGCTACATGAAGTTTCCAACATGATTACAGATGACTCTGTGTATGCAAGAGTTATTTACCTGGCACTCTATCAAATGGAGTTTTTTTATAATATGGTATTTCTAGTAATATAAAAATGCTCCAAAATCTTGAGATGGCTTTTAAAAGAAAATTTTGTAGTGCATGCAGTTGTAGTACTAAGCTTATATGACATGTATGTAATGAAGCTTGCTGCGTGCTACATCTGGGTTTCACGATGATACTATAAGATTATATACTATTATAAGATTGTAAGAGTACGTACTGCTTCATTTTGGGAAGTTGTATATACATCCGCATGAAAGTGATCATTACTTTAAAAATTTAAGACAAATGGTGTAGAAAGTCACTGGAGGGAGTATATTATCAGGGCGATTGCCTCCAGGAGGAGACCAGGGCAAATGTAGATGAAAGGGACTTGCATCTGGTGAACTACTGCACCAGGAGCAACTGCCAGAGCTTAGATTTAGATTTCTTCAACTCTGAGGGTCTCAAGTGGGGATACCGAGGTAAGAATGTCTTTAATTCCTCAAATCATTTCTAACAAGAATACAGATAAACATTCTAAAGAACAAAGGAAAGTTATGCTCCGAAGCAGCCAGGTTTCAACAAAGGTGACTTCTCCCCTGAAGGGTGAGGAGGAAGCGATCCAGCGCTGATTGTCCGATAGTTTTATGTCTGTGAAATGCAGCCTCAACAGCAGTGTGTGCATCTACAACGTACATGACTGACTAGATATAGTGGTATCTGGGTAATACATATTTTTTCAAATTTAAATATGATAAAATTATTTTCCAAGGACTAGGCTTAGGTAAAAATGACATAACTCTTTCTTCATAACTTGGCCTTTCAAATATCAACTTATATCTTTTTTTTTTTTGGTACCCGGGATTGAACTCAGGACCTTGTGCTTACGAGGCAGGCGGCAGAACTCAACTTATATCTTGATTGTGGCCACTAGCAAAGAAAAGTGGATCTTTGTTTTCACAAGTACAAGCAGTTCCTACCAGGGAACAAAGATTAATAATTAGTTTTGTGGTTAATACCTTCTAAGTAGGACAGGATTAATGTAATAGATACAAGTATAGAAACATAAAAGTTGAATAGTAATTTTTCTTGCTGTGATATATTTTAATCTCTAAAGTTTTTATCAGAAGAGTAAATTGAAGATGCACAGAATTTACAAAAATGTCAAAATAAGCCAGAGACATTAAAGTTATTTGTGATATATGGTAAAGACCTAATAGATGAAACATTTCTCTTTTTGGCTTTCAGGTGTGTGATATTAGCGTATTTAAAACTCTTGCTGCGAGGTATCATTGAGGCATCAGGACAATGAAAGGGTCCTCTGTCCTGCACTGTGTTTTGCTGTGGAGGCAATTCCAGGAGGGAAGTGCTCCTGACCTGTGTCCTCTCTTGAGAAGTAGGAATGGTAGGTGAATCTAGCTCAATTGGCTCTCCTTTTGTCTTCTCATTTTGGTCCTGCTGTTTGCAGGGAGTGAATTTGTTCTTGTGTGTGTGTGTGTATTGTGGTGGGTGTAGGGCCTGCCCTTTTGGAGCTGTACAATACTGGCAGTGAATGGTAAGTAAGTATGTTTAACTCTGGAGTGAAGCTCATTTGGCCCAACCATACATCCCCTTTCTCCTCTGAGATGTCTGCAGCATAGGTCTGACACTTGGATCTCTCTGAGTCCTCAGTTTATCTCTCAAATTGTCTCAAATGTGAGCAGGGAGAAAGGAAAGTTCTCTTCATCTATATCATTCATGCCCTTTACTGGCCTGAAAGACCCTTAGACATGTGGGATCTCTTGCTAATAAATTAGTGAGTTTTTAAATTTATAGCCATTATTTGTTTAGCCTTTATTTGGCTAAAGAGCTGAGAAGTGAATGTGACCTCCAATGTACTCAGTGGAACAAACTAAAAGCATTAAACAACTTTGGGGAGGCAATCTGGGGACTTCCCATCGACATCTCAGCATGTGCCCTTGGTGGCAGGGTCTCAGTCCTTACCTAAAGGATTTAGAAAGAGCTCCCCCACTTCATGTATGTGCTGTCCCTGAGCAACTCTGGTAAATGAAGATTTATGCATACTCACTCATTTCCAATGGAGTTTTAGCATCTCTTTCTCCTCCTGAAGATAGAGGACAGCTTTATAACTGCTTTTATAATCACTTTTAATTCAGCTGATCCAAATACTGTACTTAGTTAAAATTTCCTTTGCCAAATGGCTGGTAACGTTTTTAGTTTGTTGCATTTTAAAAAAATTCCTGCCATCAGGCTTTGATTATAAAAATGATGAGAATGGTTAAAGGCAAAGCATCATGTAAGGCTGCAATCAACAACATATTCTTTGTGGTCAACAGAGTTTAACTTTTTTGCCTGAGAGAATTAAAACACAATGACTGTTCCTGAAAATCTGTAGTGCAGTAGTCATCATAAAAACTTTTCTTTTAAAATTTGCACTCAAATTATAATAACTGCAGATATTCCTGGGCAATACTTCTTCTTCTCTCTTTTGAGATGAAATTCTATTTCTTGAAGTGGTAACACCTACACGATAAAAAGTAAAAAAAGATGACAACCTCCCCAAACACTACTGGAGTTGCAGAAACATGATTCTCCGCACAACTCACTGTTACCATTTCCTGAGTTCCCACCCAAGCTACCCCAGACATAAGCACACGGATGTACACTGTAGGGTAGCCCTGTTGCTCTTTAGACCAAGATTTTTTTGAACACAGACTTCCATATTGAATACATTTATTTGATTATTCAGTGTAGCCCCCCGCACTCCTGACAGCACTTACTAGTTATGTGCCTAGCTGAGACCAAAGTCCTTGGAAGTAATTAGTTTTGAAGTTTCACTTAACTAAATATGGAGATGGAACAGATAAAACTTTAACTTTGTCTCAGTTAGAAAAAAATAAAAATCTTTCTTAAGTATCAGGCTCACTGTGCATTATTCAGGCCATACTTCAGATTTTAGCTGCAGTGGTACTTGTGTGCTGGGGAGCGATGCTGTCATCTGGAGCCTGGTATCAAAATATTATTTGAAGTACATAGAAACCAGCTTCTTTGGTTTTTTTCATTTCTATGGGTATTGGACTCTTTAATAATTAAGTTCTCTTTTAGAGAAAAATGGGAATCTCTGTAATCACTTTGATAATTGAGCAAGTATTTGCCTCAGGCTGAAAATAATTTTTCACACTACACAGCAGTTTACTTCCCAAAGGACTCATTTAATACCAACGTGAGCAAGAAGAGTACTCCCATCTCTGTCCAACTCATTTTCTTGTTTGATTTGTTTCAAAGCATTCACTACTGAAATTATTTCATTTATAGATCTCTTTTTGTACTTTTGTTTTTTTTGGTACCGGGGATTGAACTCGGGTCCTTGTGCTTGCGAAGCAGGCGGTGAAACCACTGAGTTAAATCCCCAGCCCCTCTTTTTGTACTTTCTGCCTAGATGTCCAGCTCTCCGCCCCCATTCCTGCACCAGTCCAGGGAGGTCAGTGCCTTAAGAAGAGGGTCTTCTTCCTGTCGTTTTTGTTTTGTGGCTCAGGATCTGGAATGGGGTCTGACATATAGTTCTCCACAGAAAGAACTCCATTTCTAGAACCAGGATTGACTCTTCTTACTGTTACTTGGTTTATAAGTTAGCAGCAGTTTTCAGATATGAAAAGACGAACATGACTGTTCAGAGTATTTAATGTTGGGTCTGGTACGTTGACTTGGACGGTAAGGGTTTGTGTCTCCCTGACTACCTACCTCTAGACCTGCACTGTTCAGTGTGGTGGCCACTGGCCACGTGCGGCTCTCAAACACTTGAACTACTGTTAGTCCAAACTGAGATATGCTGTAAAATGTAAAATACACACCAGATTTTGAAAATTTAGTTCAAAAAGTGAATGTAAAATGATCTCATTACTAATTTTTATATTGCTTCTGTGTTCAAGTGGTAACATTTTTAATATACTGGGTTAAATAAAATATTGTTAAAATTAATTTTATTTGTTTCATTTCCCTTTTAAATGTGACTATGAGAACAGTAAGGTTGCTTATGTGGCCTACATTGTAGTCTACATTATATTTCTGCTAGACAGCACTCCTGGAAGCTTCTCAGAAGCGTTATAGTCTCCGTCCTCCTAGATGTTTATTAGGTGCTGTACCTTATGAGAATCACACCAGAGCGCCTTAGAGTTTAAAAACATAGACTCTGAGGGACCAATATTATCAGATAGTGGTGATGGATTTGTCCATGGTAGTGACAAAAAGCTGTCCTCTAATTTCTTACTCATTTTCTTATTTATTTGCTGACTTCACAGCAAGTAATATCCGAAATGAGTCTAAGAGGGTTTCTCAAATTGTTCCCCTCTGCTAAGATGCTCTCAGCTGGTCATCAGTCTGTTTGGGGCACCTTTGGTGCTACTCATCATGATGGGTGTGAACACCCCTGTCCTGCAAGCACTCTCTGGAGGGCAGCGGAGAGACTCCATTCCATACAGAGCCTTCCTCTCTTCAGGTCACACTACAAGGCCATGGTTATGGAGTTTGTTCTCCTGGCTGTAGTGAGCATGGACATCAACCAGTCATAGGGGACAGGTTGTGACCTCTGAAGACTTAGGGAAAAGGGCAAGAGATAGTTGTGGTATGAAGATGAATTTTCTTTCACATCAAATGTAATAAAACCCTTGGATCATGTAAGAGAGCAAAAGCAAAAATACTGAAAGACATCCATAAGAGGGGATGACCAACTACAAAGCTGAAGTATTACATTTAAATAAAGTCATAGGTATTTTTCTCCCATTTAAACAAATACTTAAAAATCAGTGCAAAAGTATAAAAGCAATAGTCTACTGTTTTAAGATGCACAGGCTATTTTTATATTTAGAGTAATTTGAGGGGGATAGAAGAAAGTCTAGATTGAATAGTGCCAGGCACTTATCTATTCTTCTCAACCAAAGTATTCTCAACCCAGAAACCACTATCCCAGAGGAAACCTGCCAAGCTGAAGAGAGATTTTAAGAGATACTCTCTTCATACTCAAAAGGTGAAATTTTAATAATAGTATTATTTATGCTTGAACAAACTTTATAAAAAAACAAGATGCTTGGAAAAAAATTATAATACATTGAGTGTATAACTAAAAAAATTGCCTCCTGATATTATTAACTTAGTTTAGCTAAATATAGTTAGCAGACCACATGCTTCATAGCACACTTTCCCTGGAATTCAGCTAATATAAATAAAACAAACGAAGAGAACCTGGTCCCCCTCCATGAACGTTACATCATTCTTCCATATTAGGAAAACTTGATTCAAATCTGAGATTCTGCTCTCAACAATCAGTTTAATTTTCAATGAGTAGCCCTCGCCAGAAGGGCTACTGACATAGGGAGAAAGGTGACACTGGCATTTTCAACAACAGGAACAGGACGGACAGCATCTACAGAGTGCGTTTTAATTCCCTAGAGAAAGTACATTTATGAAAGCATATTTAATGTTCTCCAAACTTGTGTTTTTTATATGTTTTTTGATATAAAAACAAAATACAATGAATAGAGGAAAAAGCAGGAATTCTTAGATTGTTGATTTATCATAATTCCAATACTGATTCTGACCAAAGATTTTTGTATCTGACCTTAAGGGGTGATGTGAAAGGTAAGAAGTGATGTCAGACTCCTCCTTTGCCTCCCCTGGATGTGGTGCCTGATGCTAGACTGCTCTCAGTTACCTTTTCTCCTCTGAGATATTACCATATTAACATGTTACCTCATTTAGGCTTCCTAGTGTGAAAGATAAGATTTATAAAGTTAACACTGTACGTGTAAAATAAAAATCCACCAAACCACTTCCTTAAAAATTATCTTTTCATGGATATAAGTAGAATTATTAATCAGTTTGCTGATTCTATTTTTCTTTCCTCTTGTGTAAGGACTATTTTCATGAGAAATAAGGAAAAGATGAAGAAAAATGTTCTAAATCTGAAGTCCACAATAGATCAATCGTGTCGACAAAGTTGATGCCACATTCTAAAACAAATAATTTATAAATAAACTATTTGACATACAATATATTATTAACATAACACACTAATGAAAACAATAGCAGTTTCTTATACTGTGTGCTCCCCTGAGCAGAGCGTATATAACAATCTTATCACTGATTTCTCATGTTCCACTTCGAGTAGGGAACAAAATCAGATTAATCAATGACACTGTTCAAGAAAATGTGGAGGGCGTGGAGTGGCGATCTGACAATGGTTGTGGAAAGAAGAAAATCTGATCTGGAAAATAAGCGAGGACAGTTCTAACAGTTCCAAGTTTATACTTCCAAATCTATTATTGAACTTTTCCAACATTTACTTTTCCAAAGGAAAGAAAAATAAATATAACTGAATCTCTTGCACTTGCACTTGCTATACTGGACAGAGAATGATCCTCATTGTTTCCCATAAACAGCATCTACACTGGGAAGCTGGAAAGTAATTGCATTTAAGGACTCAACCTTCTAGCTCCAAAGGTCCCTCCCATCACCTGGGGGGTTTTGCTCACCTATCTCTTCTGACTTAGGAATTAAAGGTAATGATGACTTTTTACATGTGTAGGCTCTGGAATTAGATTGCCTATATTTAAATTTCAGACTCTATTATTTCTTTGATCACTTAACCTTTCTAAACCAATTTCTCATCCTTAAAATGAGAGTCATAGTGAGTAATTGGCTATCATGTGTTTAGAGCATGCTTGAGCAAGCCTTCAATAAGTGTTAGCTGTTAATATTCAGTGTGTGTGCGCGCGCACCCTTTCCTTGGGGACAAATAATGCCCTAGAAAGGACTCTGGGACAACAGGCAAAGCAACTGTCCTAGGAGAAAATGGAACATGTAGTCATCTCATTAATAGTTTATAATGACAAGGTCACTTATTGTTGAGATACACTAACTTACAAATTAACAAAATTTGTGTATCACTGGGTACTAGAGTATACAAGAGATTAGTTGAAATAAAGCCTTAATAAAGAAATCACTTATTATAACTTAAAGTATTTATCTTAAGATAGACTTAACACATTAATTCCCCATTTTGCTGAGTTCAGAACATTCCTTTTCAACATTAGCCCAGATATCCTGTGAAGTTTAACATTAACTAAAAAGGTAAGCATGAGCACAGTTTATTTTCTGTGGATCAAGTTGTGGTCAGCACAGATACAAGTGAATGAGTTGCTTCCCTCCTGTCCAGGGAAACTGTCCCCTCCTACACTGTCATTGTAGAAACAGAAAAAACATCTGTTAAAAATGAGCTTTAGTGGAAAAAATTCAGCTGGCACTCTCTTTTCCCCTCTGTCGTCTTTTTTTCATACCACTCTTACGTAAGTTCTTTACTATATATAGTAGAGAATGGGGAGCTGAACCTTGATCTGACAGAGGAAGTGAGAGTGGGCCCCTTTCTCCCACCCTGTGCCCAGAGGCAGCGGCACCCGACTGACGACTGACGGCAGGAGATGTGGTGATCCAGAAACAGCCCCAAGCTCTCTGAGACACTGGCCCTGCTG